ACTGTCATTGTCCATCAACTTGGTTGAAGGTCCATATGCTGAACTTCATTCATTTGACTGTACATCTGTGATGAACGATGGCTCTATTGCTGCAAGCACCGAATGTACTTCGCACATTTCAAATATATAGAATGTAAGGTAAGTACTCAAGTTGTACATAATTGATAACATTTTAACATGTAGTTTTATTATATACAATATCGGACAAAAAATAAAAACAGGCGTTGGTAAATACAAAATTCTGAAAATCCGTCTATATAGGTTTAATTTATTCAAAAATCAAAATAAAATATCATTTTTGTTAAGGAGATCAAAAATTGAAAACAAAATCACATTTACAGGCGACAATAGAATAAGAACACTTAAAAAATTATATAAAATTCTAGTAAATATTAGGTAAAAATGCTTGTTTTATTAATATTTCGTTGAATATCCATTGTTTTTCAACAAAGCTTGGCACCTTTTTGGCATTGAGTTGGTATGGAATACCAGGCTTTCTGAATATTTTGCCATAATTTTTGTTAGATCCAAACGCTTCCAAACTTTTCGAGAACGTTAATGTACGGATAATTGAAAAAACACGGTTAAGACATACATCGTTTTTATTTGTTTAATATCATTTTCATAGGTAATCTGTAATTTTTGTGTGCTTTCCTTGTAAAATTATTTACAAATGGCAGATTTGCAAAGACAATTTTATTGTTTAGCTTATAAATAAAAATAAACACTAAGACGGCTGTGACCATGGTTTACCCGAACCACGGTAAATTTAGACCCGAATAATCGGATTTTTGTGATACAGGCGAAAGTAGAAATATTATTCTTCTGTTATGTAACATAACATTAGTAGTGTCATCTATATGAAAATTATGAAATCAGTTTTTGACGCGCATTATTTTTACTAGTACATATTGTATTAGTATATTATAATATGATATATATTTATAAGTCTATTGATCTTCAATATGATATTTTGTAATAAAATATTTTTTAATCCAATACATGTATGATAGGCAACTTATTATACTCTTCCAGTTCAGGATTACTGTCAACTTGTTAAGAAACTGTACAGAAGATAGCGCTTCTTGTACTATATTTAACATTTAAATAGAATCACTTCAAATAAATTTATTGTTTATAATATTATTTTCGTTTAGGTATACATCTAGAAACTATAGTATTTAGATTTATACCCAAACCGATAAAACCCAATTAATAAAGATTTGTTTAAACATGAACTATTTATATTTAGTATCAAATTATTTTCATTGAATTACTAAATTTTAATTGAGTTACATTGCAAATAATCGTTAAAGCTGAACTAATAACATTTTAATATCATAAAATTCTAATCTTTACACATTAAACATATAATTTACTATTTATTAAATATCACATATACAATTATGTTGTGTAGTCTTAATGATAAATAAGTTAAAATTGATCAGAATTTGCTTAAATAAGATTTAAATACTGTTTTCAATTAATATAATTCATGAATGCTTGTCAAAAATAGAGTTATCAAAATAAAACTGTAAAGTAACTTTCAAATATACTTGAAATATGATCAAAAAAGATACTTGACTGAATACAAATTGCAATTTTGATGTATACAAAAATAATCTGGTAACATGGCATTCGTTAAAAAGTACGATAATTGATGAAACGTTCATATGGTTGTTTAATAATTATGAAAGTTAAGTCTTATAAAGAAGACAGGAGATTGTCTTCCTTACAAGAAATTTGAAAATGTATTCACGTACGTATTACGAATCAAGGAAATAAACGTTAAATGCGGATGTTTAATGAAGGTGATGTTAGATATTTTTGTGATATCTGATTCCTATAATTAGTGGGAAGATGCTAGTAATATGAGTGTATAGGATAAGTATACGTAATAGTGAAGGTGAAATCAAAATAAACGATATCCTCCAATACTGTTGTTGTTGATGTTATTAGAGTGTGCTTATAATTACACGTTTAGATCATAGCCATGTGACGGAGCATCAAGCACTCATAGGTAGTACAAACAATTCCGTTTTTCACCGACCACAGACAATCATCATCGCCACCAAAGTGGCAAGGACATTACGCGTAATAATTGCACGTCTCGTTTTATTTTTTTCTCCATCGATTATTCGTTTCCTTACCTATTAGGAGGATCACCATCACGCGATGATGATTATTATGATGATGCATCGCCAAATTGCAAAGCAATACAACAACAGATGATTGAATCGATTGGGAAATACATGTTCACTTTGTCTCATCTATTTACAGCGTAGGATAGGAGATCCTTGAAAGTAAAGTTAAAACCAAAAATGACCGCGTATAATTAATACCTGGAAATCAAAGTGAACACTTGATCTATGATCTCTTTTGACCATAGTTGACCTGCACACTAACTTCTTTGTAATCGCATTTAATGATCGCAAACTCGTTTCTAATTATGACTGAACGGTTGGAATTGATTTTCAGGAAAACATTGCTGATTGTTGTTAAATAATATAGTTATTAGCGGAGGTGCATGTAATGATAATGTTGGATGCATGAAGTGCAAGAGAGAGTGATATAGAGAAAGAGTGAGTTAGTGAGAGAGGGAGGAGTTCTGCAGTCATCAATCTCCTCTCCTCTCTCTACGTGTGTTTGTTGTTCCCAGCTGATGGGACCTTGACATCCGTCAGTTTCAGCCAAGTTTTACGATCACGTTTCGTTTCAATGCCGGTTATTGAATCCTCACCAGTAATTAAATATTACCTTTGGCCGTATACGTACACTCGCACACGCATACACACCTATTCTGGAACTCGTTTTCCTGCTTCAGCTTTCCCATCTTTACAGTTTCTTCACAAACTCAGCATTCAAATAAACACTACATACAGAAAAAAATCTATACTCACTTGCACTACTCTTTACATATATAGATTGTAACATATGTCATAAGAATATACATTCAAATGCAATATCATTAGATAAAGTTTATTGAAACACACCAATTTAGTAAAACAATTAAATTAAATTTACATAAATTTATATGGGTATTGGCATTTTAAGTATGTAACTAGTTATAAAGTGGGATGTTCATTTATTATCGTTTATAACAATCAATCTCAAGTGTATGTAAATTTTTATGAATTTATGTACATCTGGAAATAAAATGATGTAAACAACCTCAATGATTTAAATACAAAATAACTGTAGTTATTATATAGGTAAAATTGTAATTAATTATGCATATATTCAATACATACTCAGTATAATTAAAAGATATGCACTTTTTATCATTTATAAATAAAGGTTTTGTATGACTGAAAATTTTCTTTACAAATGTATTTTTTTTTTAATTTCTGATTAATCCTTTAATTAGTTTTTGTATTTTATTTGAATATGATCAAATAATTATTTTACTTTGCTGAATGTATTTTCACAATATAAATAAAAAGGTTGAAAGATATTATTTTTTTAGGTTAAAATGAATTTCTAAATTGTAGATCAGTACTTTTGGTATAACATTTCTCATTTTCTACATAAACCAGTCGCGTACGTTTCTAATGTTGAAACCGATTTGTATAATTATGCATTAAGTGCTCATTTTTTTGCTTCTGCTCCATCCTCTCTTCCTCCACCTCTGCTTCTGGTGTCGGCTACTGTTAGTTGACACGCATACATTATTGGAACATAAACGCGGTAATATTAATCGGAAAATAATTGCAGGACCGTTAAAATTATGCTTTAATAATATATTCTTCGGGTCTAATTCCAGTGCAATTCAACTCGATACCTACCCGTAAATTAATAGACTACATTTTCATCGGTTCCTGGCCTAATGCAATCATTGATATATCATCCATCGCTCTGCCAGATGTTCTCCTGGGATATCCGAACTTTAAGTTTCGAGTAAACAAACTACTTAAATTAATTATAATTTAATTCAACTATGTTTCATAGATTTCTATTGGCTATGATCCTGATTGGATTTTTTTTTAAATATATAATATAATGACCATAGACTTGCAACAAACAATAATTTACGTCAAGGACAGTTTTTCCCATCGCAAATTGCATTATATAAGTCATAATGATATTTATTAAACGGCGATTGATTGACCGTTCGAGAGATTGGACTCTTACAGTGATTGAAGCGCGCCAGAATCAATCAGTGCACGTCATAACCGAGTGCTAGTATTAAACAGTAGTTGAACAAGAAAAAAATAAATTGAAAACGTAGAACTATAATGTAATATGAAGGTAATATTATTTTAGATACAGTTGAAATGGGGGTTGTTAATAATAAGATGTTTGTTTTAGAATCAATCCAGCAGTTTTCATTTTTATTTTTCATCATACTTCTTACAATAAAACACCCTCTAAATATGCACCATTCACAATAAACCATATATAAGCTCTTTCTCTCCCTCACTCGCGCTTTTCCTGTCTTTCTATATCTCTTTTTCTCGCTCGCAAATCATCTTGACTTTGCAGTTAAGATCTCTTCCAGATTCTCACTCTCGCTCCACGTACACTGAGGATCTCTAGATTATCAATAATACAAATAACTAATAATTCCCTACGATAAAATATCTCTAAATGCTAAACGACAATCATGGTTTCATCACAGATGAAAAGAAAGATAAAACAACACAATATATATTTATATATAAAAAAGCTATAAAATTAACTTAACTCGCACGATATTTTAGATTTACGTTACACACATATATATATTTATTTATAAAATGTCCATAAACGGAAAATAATAATCACTAATATTTAATAATAAACAAACAAAAAACAAAGAGAATTTGCCTAAATATATTTTATATAATATGGCGACTTTTATCATTTCCTCTAAATTAAATCGTACGACACAAAAGATCATCACATTGTGTACGTTGACTTTAAGTAAATTTAAGTAATTTAAAAATTGCAAGTAACAAAAGGATGACACTTAATATTTGTGTAATTAAATAATACTATGAAAAAAAAAATGTATAAGTAAAATCCCATATCTGCGATTTACGGTTGCATTTGTAGAATGTGTATATGTGAACTTCATGTTACTTATTCAAACGAAATTGACAATTATGTATATATTTGTATATGCGGAGATTACAATAAGAAACACTTATATCTAATACGAATCACAAGTCTTAAACCTCTAGCATCTAGATTTTATTATTTGCTAATAAAATGAAAACCAGTACGCGAAAAAAATAGAACATTTATCATATCGTAATTTTCTTGAATACAATTAAAAATTAACTTTAATAATAAAAGTAAAATCACAAAGCGTGCTGTATCCAAAATACGTAATATCCATAATTATTACGTCGCCTGCTGCTTCCGGTTTCGTGCTCACAAGTAGAGTGCGCCGCGCTTCAAGTTCTGTCCTATGTACTTGGTGTGCTTTTTATAGGTGGGTTGAGGCACCTTCTTCTTATCTAAAGAGATGTCTGGGTATTCCCGCATCTCCCACACCAGGTTTGTTAAACTTCTCGGCCTTGAAAGTTTCCTGGAACGTTTCTCCGGTTGCTTCGCTCCAGCACCGGAATCTCCGGAACCGCGACCACCGGAATTACTCGAGTCCAAAGTTCCATCCAATTCCATGGCTTGCTGAAGATTGTTCAACGATTTGTAGCGTATATTGAAGATTGGCGATCCGGATTTCGGTGGAGTCTCTTTCATGGGGGATGCGCTTTTTTGACGAAATAACCGGTTCCGCTGGGAGTGACCGTTTTTAACGTACAGTTTCGGCAATCCGGGTGGCGTTTTCTCGGATGCAGCCTTCCGGTTTCGCTTTTCGGCCTGGTTTTTCTTCGTCGGTATGGTTTCTATGGGCGGCGGTTCGGGTTTTGGATCGATTTGCGGATCTGAGAACGGAGATCGAATGTTTTTTGGTAGAGGCGCGAAACCGCGAACGTAATCGTAGATCTGATCGATCTCCTCGTAGTCTTTAGAGTTCGGTAGTCGGTTTTCGTCCTTGCGATGATGGTGCTTGGGACGTTGGTTCGCGGAATCGGAGGAGGCGCTGCGTCGCAGCAGAAAGTTTTTCGGTTCTGTAGGGGACTTCTTGTCTAATTTACCGTCGAGCACTTGGATGCGATCGGCAACGTCTTGCACGAGACGAGAGGACTTGTCGAGGAGCCTCGAAAATTCTGGAAGCGATCGAAGATGATCGTCGTTCCGAGTGCGAAGGAGCTTCAAGGGGGCTGCTAATGGTAACGCTGTTAGACTTTGTACATCTTTCTGGAGAGGCAAAGCGAACACGTGTTCCTCTTCAAATATGGAGAGTAATCTAAGTTCTGGCACAAAATGACTTGGGCTTTTCAAGCCTCTGGGGGCCGTACCGTGGACTAATCGTACGGTTAACGGCATCCGCTTACTTAAGAGATTCTTTGCAGTGTGGACGCCGCTGATGTTATCTTCTCTGGCTAGTGCAGAGAATTTCCCTCGTTGCTCCAATCCTAGCAGGATAACGTCGCCCTTGGCATCCAGGCATTTCAGATAGCGGCCTTTCGAGCCGCTCAAGCTGCATTCACCGGAAGGCACTAGGATCTCGCCGGCCGCAATTGTTCTGGCTCCTTCCGGTATGACCGCATCACCCTCGCACCTCACCTGCACACCTCTAATTGTCTCCCGAACTAAGCACCCTTCCTCTGGTCTCCGCCTGCTCAGTTCGGCCACACTTTCGATGCACCTGACCGCTCTTCCTTCCTCGCTGAGAAGCTCGAAGTAACCTGGATAAGTGTCTGGGATGGCTAGACGAGGTCCAACACACACAAGACGTCGACCCTCCTTAATTTTCACCGCTTGCGCGACGATCTTTTGCCGGTTACCGGCGGATACTAGGAGGGCTGTCGATTGAAGACCTGGACTCGGAAGGGTCGGAACTCCTAGTCCTCCGTACTGGCCTTTGATAATCTTTACTACGGCCGGAAGACGATGCTTCGCGACGAATTCGCGCAAGTAGTTCCCTTCATCGGCCCAACGGGCCGCCGCCACAGTTATCTGACCGTCCGTCGCTGCCATTGTCTGATCGATCAATCTACGTCCATATCTGCAAAGAACAAGAAAATAGAATTAATTTGATAATAGATTCGAAATAAATTTGGATTAATTCAGCAGGGCACAGCGTATTAAGTTGTGGGAATATATGTATGGGATATATAAGTCAGAATCTCGTTTGCGTTTGATTTATGGCGTGGAGCAAAGTTTATTATAGTTCATAAGCAAGTGTTCAGACCATCGGCCCCATGGATATATACATACATCCACATGTATGTTATATTATAATAACAGCAAAAGGAATCGAGTTGTTATCGTTTAGAAAGTGCGCGCGCGAGGGGAACGTTGCATGTGTATGCATCTCTATGCATATAGGTATAGGTAGTAGTATCTCCTCTTTCAGCCATCAAGCGCTCTCGTTTCTTGCACGGGCCCCTTTTTCCTGCTGCATCTGCTGCTGCCTCTACTACACGAAGAAATAGAAGACGAGGAGGGCAGCAGCGAACACGCAGAAGAGAGTTCACGAGATGAGATCGAGTCAAGGCCACGCAGACATCTTTCTCTCCCGACACCAACACCAACCGACGGACGGACCTTGCTGACCAGAAGTGTGACCAGTCCAAGGACGAACCTGCCACTTTACCATCGCTGCCCTACGGCCTCCACTTCGCCACATACAACACTCACTAACTCATCCTCAAATAATAATTATTCCCTAAAAAAAACAACAACCATCCATCCTCCTCCAACCAAACAATACGTGAGTCGGCGCCAGGAGATTCCTTTATTTGGCGCAATGACTAAACGTTCAAATTAAAGTTCACGTCACGTTCTAATTTTTCTTTTAAATCATATACAACTATGATGCGGTGCGCAAAATTAAATGACAAGGACAGATTTAATTAAAAGCTCTCAAAATAATTCCAAAATCAATCATTCCGCATTCGATGTACGGCATTATTAAATAACAATTATGCGGACGTCGTTGTATGCAAATCGACCGATTTCGGAGTACAAACATCAGGACTCTCGTCTCGTGTCAAATGCTCTTCGCGGATTCCATTCGCGGTGAATCACAACGTTCGTGGGAAAATCTTGCGCAATAAAATGTTTACATTATGTCTACTAAATAATACACCGTTAATTATACATCTTTTCCACATAAATCGAAAAAGAAATGCCGAATTTCGCAATATTTCATTGATTAACGGTCAGCTCACCTACAATTACCACTTCCGATTCACATTTTGTCTATAGACATAAGCGCGGAGAACGTTTGAAAAAAAAGACCATTAAAAGTAAATGCTTTCACAACGGTTTGCTTCGTGAGAAAAAATATATACATTAATTAATTATAGAACTGATTTTTATTAATTGCTACAATTACATAAGTAGTATTTAAATACGTTTAATACTAATCATTTTCATTAATTTTTCCTTACATTTTGTTGTGTCCAACCATTATAATTACAATTATTATTGTTAATATAGTGTATTAACAAACTAGAGACTCCTATACCTTTACTCAGAACTCAAATCCTTTTATAAATATATAATAATCTTTACACAAATTCATAGAATTTATAATAAAAAAACCACCAGGGCCAAATCCCGTAGGATCGCTTAATCATCAATATATAGAAAGACCTACTCCCAATCACAACTCCCACCCCGTATTAATAAGAATTTGCTAAACATATCATTATTTTAGATTGCACTTATTTCCACTAACCTTGTTAGATATTGTGCTCTACTTTATATATAATTGTTATTGATAATTAAAACGTCAGTTAAATGACATAAAAATGCAATAATTGAGAATACCATGTTTTACAGTGAATCAATCATAATTCATTTATGACGTTTTAATTGATTTTAATATTAATATATAGATTATAATCTTCATTATTTATAACTAACATAAAGAAACGTAATTATTTATAATTCATTAAGTAAGCGTTAAATATTTTAATATTGTTATAACACGATTAAACGATTTAAAAAATCCTTAATAGTAATTGCATCGAATAACTATTTCTTTACAAGGACGATAATTAATTTTGTATATTATACTTATTTGCATCAATATTAATTCAGTAAATCAGTAAAGCAACGTGTTTAAAAGACGCTTCTCCTATTGGTAAGTATTGAATAAATCTATTGAAATGTAGATTATTTTGTAAAAAATATACAATTATTTAAATTTATAATAAATAATTTAATATATTTGACTAATTACCTTCGATCTAAATAAATTAGCTTCATCACGACCCAGGATAAATCACTGCGATTTCGGTGAATGATATCCAGTAATTAAGTATTTAAGAACGTCTAGATCTAGATTCGTTTCTTTTAAATCTGGTTGAACTTGACCGCAAAAATCATTTCACATAAGTATGACAATATAAATCACTAAGTTAACAGTAAAAATTGAAAAGAGATAGAAACAATCTAAACTAATAATAGACTACTGCTTATTTACGGAATGTGTAACACGATTCATTTAATCAAATGAAATATTTTAAATATTATAATAAAAAAATCATGATTTCACCTTGGACTTTGATTAATATAAATTAATTAATATAAATAGTTTATTCTCAGTAATTAAAATCGCAGTCATTTTGGGTCAAACGATGAAAGAAAATCCAATGAATCAATAATTCTGCGAATGATAAAAATATTTTCTAATTGTAGTCAATGAATGCGGTTTTTCTGAGGATACAAAAATATTTATATGCAATTTTTTTTATAATTATTGTTATTTTTTCTAAATGAAGAGGAAGGATAACGATTTGCAAGCGATTGGTTTACCAATTAAAGCCGGATTTCAATCGAGAATTTGCTGGATTGTATTAGTAATCAACGTATCCGTTGAAACATCCGATTACCGTCATCGCATGGCATCCTCTGACCAGTTAAAGGAAGACATTGAAATGAATCGTAGTTCCTTTCATTACTAAATTAAAGCAACAACAACTTAAATCCATTATTTAATATTTATATATACATTTAAATTTTTTTCATTGCTCTTGGATTTTCTCCTTCTAAATTTGAAATCAATAATATGAAAATAAATATTACTTAAAAACTGATAAAAAAATTAGCTATGTCCACTGTAAAAAGTGAATAGAAATCAGAACACAATTATTGTGTAAAAACAGGAAGTGTTTTACTTATATACAAAGAAAAATAAATCAGTAGTTTTACATTAAAACCCACGAAATTTAATTACATATAAAATAGAAATGTTGACAGGACAAAGACATTAGTTGTTAGTTTATTTTAAAAATATATAAAATTAAGCCTACGGTAAAAATGTGTTTTCCGTTTGGCTGTAAAACTCCAATTATATATTCATGTATGTTAATAGTTTAAATGGGACAAGAAGAAATGTTTAATAAATTTTGTGAGAAACAAATAACAAAAATTTCTCAGTAGAAATCATGTTTAATTTAATTATAATCTAGTCGTCTCTTTTGGAATTAGATCATCATTTGCATAATATAGTTAAAACCCAAAATAAACATTTCCATCAAACAGTTCATATTTTAAGCCAATAATTTCTTTAAGTTTTCTTACAAAAAATATAAATTCTTTATTAAGTTCTTAATAAATTAAGGTAAAATAAATGATAAAAGAATGATATTAAACTTTATAGTGAATTGAAATTGAAGAGATCAAGAATACAAAGTTGTTTAACATCATAAATGTCATGACAAAGAAAAAGTGGATAGAAATATATACAAAATACGAAGAATATAAACGCAATTCTCGTGATAATATAATATTATTACATTTTTTCCTTTTTTATTATTACTAAAACCTGATTTTCATTAGTAACAATTATGTCATTTCGAATGTATGCAAATTATGTAAATCAATTCAAATCCACGTCCGAGTCTCTGCAGAGTGTTTTTTTGTTGTTGTATATTTTTATTTCTTTAAATTAATTATATCCATTGAAGGCGAGTGAATACGCTTTTATTATTCCATTAAGAGTCTCAGAGTTGCCATTCAACTCAAAACTTAAAAGCCAATAATTATGTTACCTGCAGGGCAGAAAAATCACTGTCGATTTCTCAATCTATAATGTTTGATTCGTATTGTTTTTCTCATTTGTAAATCCATTAGATAAAAAAGATTAATATACATTTGACAGCTTACAAATGTTGAAAAAGATATGTTTACAATTTTTATTTTTAATGAAATGAACTAGTATTATATTTATACAATATTAGAAAAATATCAAAATTTCAAAAAAGAAGTTTTATATACATTTAACATAAAGGTAAATATTTTAGAAATGTAACAAACTTTAATAAAATGACAATTGTAATTATGCAATATACATTATTTTTTTTACTGATTTATAATTATACATTTACGAAATTGCATGTTCTGTTTACAATATTTGAATTTATTACATTTACATGCCTATTACTTAAAATGGTGTAATCATTACTTTCAAATTTAATTTTTGGCATTGATATTGTCTTATAAATCTCTTAAATTTTTATAACTAATTCGATTTTAAGTGTTAATATGTTAATGTAATTTTTAATAATTTTATTTAATAATTTACTATTTGATAAGAATTACATTATATGCCTTTAAACATTATGTTTAATATTTTGTGGAAGAAAAATTTTCAATTTTTTTTTGTTAAATTAATAATTTAATTAATATTATTAAATAAAAAAACTATAAAAATCATGGAAATATTTTGTTTTTGTTTCATTCATAATTGAAATTGTATTGTTTTATGAAAATAAGTTTAGAATCAAAAAAAGTTTTTATATTATTGAAATATATTTAAATCGAAATATCAATGCAATTTTCAAAAAAACTTCAACAATTGCTTAGCAAATTTCAAAATAAATGTTAAGTAAAACTATTTACAAAAATAAATTTTATATTTCTTAGTTTTATTAATTGAACTACAGCAATAACTGCATAGTACGGGTAATCAGTTCCGTCAACTGTTTGAAACCGAATTAATCAAGGAACTAAATAAAATAGAAATAAACCGTAAATAAAGAGACCTGATTG